AAGTTACAGTGCTACTCTTGGGTTTTGAACCAGAACACCAAATGGTAGTTCCGCTTCTCTAGAAATGACAGCTTTGAGTTTACATCATAACTCTTTCTGAGTCAGAATTAAGTCATTTTCAAATTCCACATCAAATTTGGTTTAAAAGATGTGATTCTTTGTGAATTCCTTGCTTCTTCTTAAGCAAAGCTATATCACAGAATCTTTGATTAGCAAGTATTTTTTATGTTGGATGTTTGAAATATGTGGATGTGTCATGACAAGAATCTCAGGAGCTATTTAATTCAGACCTAAACTTAGCAGAATCTTTGATACTAAACAGATGTGTCTCCTTTTGCAAAAGGCTCAGATATCTGAGGACTTGAAATACATTATTGATAAGAGCACTGGAGACAGTGGCGTTGCATATCGGTTCTCCCTTTCTGGGCTTTTCTACTGTGGCACCATTTTCAACATCTTCCTCAGTGCAAAATTTAAGGTATAACACTTACTTGAGAATTTGACTCCTGTGCCACAGAATGAAGACTAATCTGAACATTCCCTTACCTCCTCTAAGTAAATTAAGGAAATGAAATTTGTATTATTTCACTTTACATAATATCCTCCAAGTTTAGATATGTTGTAATATGTGACCGAATTTCCTTCTTTTTACAGACTCAATAGTATTCCGTTGTGTGTATATACCACATTTCTTATTCCTGTGCTTATTCCCTCTGGTTTTCATTACTTCATTTAAGTGATGGGTTCCAGACCATTCCAGTACCATAAGAAGAAAGAATATGTTTGTCTATTATTCTTGAACATTGGACTTTGGCTTAACACAGATACTAATGTTTGAAATTATTTTCACTTAAGATATCATGGTTCTGATTTTTAGTTACAAGTTCTGGGGATTCTTCCAATTTCTTCATCTCCATTTTACTAGTTCTCTAATTCAGTTGTGACTGCCTTACTTAGATTCTCAAGAAATAAAGCATGGTTGATGTACCAGTCAAATGAATACAGCATTCCTACGTAGGGCTTCTGTGCTTCTGCTCTGGGCTTCCAGCCTAGTAATCTAGACCGGATAACACATAAACTTCAAGGACCTCGTCTTACCCCCAACTTTTATCTTAAGCCAAGTCACAAGATCTATCTCTTCCCTCCTGAATGCTAACCAGGCTTTTTGGGGTGCTGCTGAGCCAAAGTCCTTTTAATTAAAAGGTACATCTAACCTAAACCCTCTCAGCGACAACAGAGCTCTAAATGAGGGGAATAAAATGTTGACCACATTGCAGGGCCATTGTGTATAGATGTACAGGTCGTGCCCTGATGTGGGGCTCTGTGGCTCTGTCTACTCAGAGGAAGGAGCATATTATTTCTTACATCAAGCTGGAGGCTCGACAAGCTGTACACCCCTCTATCTGTATCTTCCCCAAAGTGGTACCTTTTCCTAATTCCTGTAAAGTTGTGCTAGCAGAGGTCCTGTTCTTTTGATTTTTTAAAATTGAGGTGAAATTCACATAACCTACAATTAACCATTTTAAAGTGTGTAACTGAGTGACGTATAGTATGTTCATAATGTTGTGCAACATCGTCTCTCTCTAGTTTCAAAAACTTTTCCATCATCCCAGAGGAACGCCCCCATGACCTTTAAGCAATCACTTCCCATACCCCTCTATCCCCAGTCACTGGCTCACCACTTTGATTTAACGATGAAAGATTTTATCCCTTGGAATGAAAGCCTCACTATGTGTCTTTTATTTAATACTTGCTTCATCTAGAACTCTCTCTGAAAATTAGAATAAGAATGGTGATAGTATACAGCCAACATCACATTCATTTAAATCCATCCTTGCAGTGAACATTTATTTTCTGCTTCACAATACATAAGAAGTATGTACAGATATTATAAAAACATCAGTTTATACTCCCTTTCACCATTTTTCGAAGTATATTTTGAGGAGTATTGGTGTTACAGGGTGTTAACAGGTAATATAAAAATAGAGTTTTCTGGCTAAGTTAGTTTGGGAGTGATGGTTATAGAGTTTCCTTCCTTCCTTCCTTCCTTCCATCTTCCTTCCTTCCTTCCTTCCTTCCTTCCTTTCTTTCTTTCTTTCTTTCTTTCTTTCTCTTTGTCTCTTTCCTCTCTCTTTCTCTTTCTTTCTTTTCTTTTCTTTCTCTCTCTCTTTCTCTTTCTTTCTTTGTCTCTTTCCTCTCTCTTTCTCTTTCTTTCTTTTCTTTCTCTCTCTTTCTCTTCCTTCCTTTCTTTCTTTCTTTCTTTCTCTCTCTTTCTTTCTTTCTTTCTCCTTCCTTCCTTCCTTCCTTCCTTCCTTCCTTCCTTCCTTCC